TCTAGTAATAATATGACTCAAAACTTAATCTTGCCTGATGTGAAGGAACTAAAATAAAAAAACTCTTTATTAATATTAATTACCAGCCCTAGTATTAATTATTTTTATCTGCTTTTCGCAACAGTTTTTATTTCCAACCCACGAACACTTTCAATTTCCGATTTTGGCGATCGCAACCGCGACAAGTGTCGGAGGGTTCGCAATCGAGATCGAAATGGAAGCAGGAAGAGCCAGGGGTTGATCACCTATACCTACACGGTCCTGATTAAAGAGGGAAACCGGCCAACATCGACAGTCGTGCGGCGAACCACAGCCACGGTGTTAGGCAGTTCATGTTGCGGGCGCGATTTCAAAAAGTTTCAGAGCACGGGTTGAATCACGCCGCCGCGCCACGCCGCTATGTCGTTAGCATGATCCGTGTACGCTGCGGATTTGTACGTCAAAATTTATCGTTCGAGCCGCGCGGCACGTCTCGTTAATTATGCACGTATGTGGGCGCGATACCCAACGATCCTGGAAAAGCCCTGGTAATAGGCTCGATGCCGGGTCCTACGCCTCGACGGCAAGCCTGGGGACGTTGGAATCAATCCCCGACGCGTTCGTGTCCATTTTGATGAGATTCCGTTTCATCGGGGAACGCACATCGACCCTTTTCCCTTCTCGGTAACACGATCGGTGTACCCGAAGCGCACGTGTATGAAAGTTAATGAGTCGAAAGAGGGAAAGTTTTGCAGACTATTAGTATCGACATGATCGTTGATTAATTTTAGACGGCCAGGATTTTCGACGACTTTGTCGGCTAGGGATATTTTACGTTTGATCTGATGCAGACATTTATTTAGAGTTACATGCGTTCGGCTTAAACGAAGAACATTCATTTCTTTTAAGATTACTTTTCAAATCTGTCAGATCATAATAAGTGAGAACGACGTAAATTTGCAATAAATATAATTTTCTTACACGAAATTGAATACCGTTTGAAACCTATTTTTGATAAATGTGCATTGATTGAGTGATTGATATAAAACCATGTAGATAAAATATGTATACATTCCTTGACATAAGCATGTGATAGTGATAACATTTATGGTTTTGAAACGAAATGGAGTGCGAGAAAAACGCGAAACATTTTATGGCGAGGGAAACGACAACACGTCATCCGCAGCTGCTTGGAGCGTTTCCTCCGTCCAGAGTTAAAAATACCACTTGTTTCGCGCATAATCCTCATGAAAGCCCCGTAATTTCGCGGCTTCGGCCGCTCTCACTCCTTGGCCACGAACATTCGTCATACTTACCGATGCGGAATTGGTCTTGTACCGGAAGGCTGGATAGAAAATATCACAGTAATCTCCACGGATCCGTGAACTTCTCCCGATGTGCGACTGAGCCCTTGAAAGTAATGTTCAGATTAATTCTTGATAATCGGACCATTTGCTTCTTTAATCATAAATATAAATATTATCCTCGTAATTTGATGAACAATTTGAGAAATTCATACTACAGCAATAATCTAATTCATGAAACAGATTGTACAGGACGAATCAATATGAAGTACCGTTTGAAAATTATATTTTATTTGGCTTGGAAAATGAATTTTGCTAAATGCATAAAATGTTTGTTTCCCTCAAATCAGTAAATAATTGTTTATTTCAAATGATACTTCTTATCTTCATTTTGTATAACATCTTGATTGAGTGATTGATATAAAACCATGTAGATAAAATATGTATACATTCCTTGACATAAGCATGTGATAGTGATAACATTTATGGTTTTGAAACGAAATGGAGTGCGAGAAAAACGCGAAACATTTTATGGCGAGGGAAACGACAACACGTCATCCGCAGCTGCTTGGAGCGTTTCCTCCGTCCAGAGTTAAAAATACCACTTGTTTCGCGCATAATCCTCATGAAAGCCCCGTAATTTCGCGGCTTCGGCCGCTCTCACTCCTTGGCCACGAACATTCGTCATACTTACCGATGCGGAATTGGTCTTGTACCGGAAGGCTGGATAGAAAATATCACAGTAATCTCCACGGATCCGTGAACTTCTCCCGATGTG